TAGGTTACCAACGGACCTCGGCAACAGCAGACAATCTTACATCGTTAGCCCCTAGACTCATTAAAGTCGTCAATGACGTAAATAAACATGTCTGGTCCAAACGAGATGGGCTATCCAGTGCGGATCACCCAGGTGGTCGCGACGATATCAACGTCGTATCTCTTGTAACCAGATAGCGGTCTACAAAACCCGATCGCGCTGTATATCTTACTGCAATCGCTAACCTAACCTAACCATGGCCTAGCAACCTGACCTTTGAAAGACTTTGGTTTGTTTTAGACCTAATTTACTGGTGTACACTTTCGTGGAATATAATAAAATGGGGATTGCGATACACAATGCATAATTATGTATACGTTTTTATGAAGGAAAAATTATAACGATAGTTCCTGAATGCTCGCATTAAAAGAAATAGGTAGACTATAGATGCAGAAAAGAGCTTATGTGAAAATAAAGTAATAGCCAATTATTTAATTTGTAATGAAAGTTGGTTCATATTAACCTCACCTCTACATGACATGTAGTATGTCATGTAGAGTTGACATATACTTACTATGATGTTTCTTATATAAAATCTAAAATAAGCTTGATGCGGAAACATTAGCATTTTGGCGCCTCCCATCAACGATTATGTATAACTTACTTTACTATTTATACTTTACCCTTAAACTAACACTAAGCGAAAATGTCATTTACTGATGACAATGATTGAGGTTGTTAAATACAAATAAAATGGCTGACAAAACAGCAACGCACGGGATGTGGGGAATAAATCAACAAATTTGTAACAACCCATATATAGGTGTATAACTGCATTCAATAGGTTACATGTGCATATGTTTGATTACCTGATAACATTTTGGAGGACTGGTCTTTGACTCGCCTTGACTCTCGTATTGAATGTGAAATGAAACTGGTTTCAGTTTTTCGGCTTTCTCATGTGCTACCAATAAGTCTTACGTTGAGCACTTAACACTCCTTTAAAAGTCTAAAAACTCGCTGCCTAATGAAAATTACAGATTGGAAGGCTAAACGGCGCTATTGAAGTCAAAGCTTGCTTTTATGAGGCATCCAATAAAAGTGGACTAGAACCTAATTTAACTATTTAAAAATTTACGTTGATGGTTATCGTTAGTAAACCAATCGTAGGGAAACATGAGAAACCTCATAACAGGTTTGTAAGAATGTCTATTGAACGAATTATGTATTTCATTAGGTTATGCTGATAGTGGTATAACTGTCGCCGCTTGCCAAAATTGTTTAAATATTTTCTTAGTACTTGACTTTGAAGAACATCGAGGTCAATAGTCTCGATATATTTTTAACGAGAAGAATATCAATGATATTACAAGTATATGCAATTGTAATACTACATAAAAATAATAGTGATTAACTTATACCTCGGTGAAAGATAAGATGAATTGTTTACGTTTTAATGTACCATATTAATGTATAATTTTATTAATAAATATGGAACACTAGCTGTTATCCGCGGCTTCACCCGCGCGGCCAGAGGGAATTGACAATGAGCTTTATATTGTTATACACCACTTAGTTGACACTTATCATTACTTATATTTTGTACAATTCACACAATATCTTTATATATTATAGCCTCTTCTGATGTATAAGCTATACAGGGTGGCTTTTCTAAAGGTGCCCAATTTCACACAAGAGGTTAAGACTCGGTAGTATAATCGTTTATTGAAATAAAAACAAACATTTTTTTTTTTTAAATTTCCATTCTATTCCCTAAAAAACAGAACTAGTTGACAGTGCCGTAGTCATTCATAAATGCGTCGTATACTTTTGAAACCAACTTATGTACGTGTTAGTTATGAATGATCGCGCGTAAAAAAACTGAGTTGTCCATAAAGCATGCACTTTTTGAGATAATTTAAAATGAAAGTTATTATTTAATTATTTAAATATTTATCATTTTTATATAACATTATTTATGTCTAGAATTTAATAAAAAAAAATGAATACTAAGTGTATTCATTTTGATGAAAAGCCTCCCTGTATTCATTGCATCCATACATACCAACTTTCGCCTTTATAATATTACTGGCTATGAAACGTGGCTTCGCCCGAGCGGTCAAAGGGAATTAACAATGAGTTTTTTATTATACACCAGAATAGCTTGCAGATGGTAGATTTTTTTCCTACTTACTTGACACTTATTGTTATATTTTGGATAATTCACATAATATATTTATTAATTATAGCCTAAGTATTATTCTGATGTATTAGCTATATTATTGTAAAGTTTCATTAAAATCCATGCAGTAGTTTTTGTGTGAAAGAGTAACAAACACCCATCCATACATACAAACTTTCGCGTTTATAATATTAGTAAAGATAGTAATCGGTGAATATTGCGGTTACTGTTACTTGTACTAGCTTTCTAAAGCTCCATTATTCTCAAGACAAGCTAGATTTCCCGAGCCTAATTTATACAAATTGTTGCTATATGAGTTTTCCTTAAGTCTTTAGACATATCCTATTTTATTAGTTAGATGATGATACGGATAGCATAGTGAAGTTTTACACTATCTTACGGAATCCAACCTAAAATCTGGCCGTGATAAATAACTTAAGTCATTTATTTTTTGCACAGATAGAGATACAAAGAAGGGTAATTAAATAGTATTACTTGATTAAAATATTTTAGACTTATAAAATCGTTGACCCATGTCTCATTCATAATTACTAGTGGTAGCCTAGTGGTCGAAATTCGACCATAGTTAATTATACATGGTAGCATGTGTAATGTTTTTTTTTATTGATTGAATGTATCTTTATGCATAAAATTATTAAAATATTCATCCTGCACTCCTTCTCTATATAAACTATAAGTGTGGGAAATTTCATAATCCTCCGTCCGAGAAATTTTAAACAGGTCTACAAAGTTTTTGCTTCACGTATTATTAGGTATATAGATAATAAAAAATTCGGAAATCGTATGTCTATCAATAATTTGTACTCGTACGTATATAAATAATATGGAAAACGTTCAATGTTCTCTATGTAATTTGACAAAAATAAAGTTAAATATGAAATAGGTTTCAGAAATATAAATTAAGTTTCAGAAAGTTATTGAAAAAATAAATTGGTGTTCATTAAAATCCATATATTGCGTCCGTCCTTCGATACATTATAATTAGATACTCAAAAGCCGTGTTTCATTTCAATGATATTTCCTTCCGTGTAAAGCGTGTAAGTATCTATCTCTGTTCTCTTATATTTTTATCATTTTATATGACTATATTTATTTAATTGATACAAATGTAAATTATCACGTTTTGTCAGTTCGCCTAGTAACAACTCGGCCTTGACGCTCAAATGACCTACGGATTCATGAGTATTCCAACTGTTTGTGCCACTAAATTATTTTACTGGCATTTTAATAATTTGTACAAATAGTGTTTTTTTCTTTTGACCGTCATCTAAATAGTTTGCACATTGAACATATTTGTATTTTAAAGGATTATTACGCAATTATACTGTAATTCAGGTGCTAAGGAAAAATGTATTTGTGTGAGAATCGACCATGTAATGTTATTTCATCAATGATCAACGTAGAATTTTATAAAAAACTAACTCAAAATGTTTTTTATTGGACGTTATTTTTGATTTTTCTAGAAATCATTTTAAAAATTTATTACACAAGAAACTGAATAAATAAAATTTATGACACCATTAACTAGCATGTTTTGTATTAAATAAATTAGTGTTTCATCTCTTGAACCCATGTTTCGTATATTTCATGAAACTTGTAATATAAAAACTATGTTCAAAAAATACTAAATATATATTCCCGACAAACCAGCGAGGGAGATTACTCCACGTAACAACGTGAGTTTCATTATAGTATCTTAATAAGTTATGTGAATATCAGTCGATGTATCGACTTGTTCAATTCGAACTTTTGATAAGGTCAATTGAAGGTAAATTGCCTCGTATAAGGAAACAGTTCATGCCAGAGACAATGAGATGCAAAAAGCCTTAACTTTTTAAGCACAAAAACTTGTGATTTCTCGCCACTTCGCAGTCTTGAAACTAATGTAATTATTTTATATCACAAAAATGTATCACGAAATAAAAGTAGCACAAGAAATAGGTTGTCAGTCATTGCTTAGTATAATGTGGCGATATTGAAGTAGGTCTCAGTTGAAAATCTATTTTGTTGGAGAACTAATTGACGAGAGCACAGAATGATCGATTTAGCTCCCAAAACAGGTTTTCAGCGATAAGGGTTTAATTTTAGTGCGTGGACAAAAACGTAGTTAAATTTAGAAATAAGATGGACAATTAACATTACTGTTCATAACTTTATGCAAAAAAATTGGAGATCCCTCTTCTTAGACTCGTTATTTTTAAATGGGCCAAGTCTTTACTACATTTTAATTATATTACATGTGAAGATAGTAAGGTGGGATCGTGGGGATACATGTGCGTATCGATCTCGTAACTCAAAAGTTAACAAATGAATTTAATACGGCACGGGATGACTAACGCTCGGTTTCTGAAAAACTGATCATCGTATATGTCAAGTAATCAGCTGTCAAATGGGTTTTAAAATGTTGTTTGAGTTGCCAAAAGGATAGAAAATCTTTGAATTGAACATTCTGATCAATAAGAAGATCACTGTGATCATTTTAGAAAGTTTAACCATCCTTTTGGCAACTCAAATAACATTTGATAAGCCATTTGACAGCTGATTAGTTGACATCTACGATGATCAGTGTTCCAGAAACCGGGCGTAATTGTGGTAAAACTCGTCTAATCATCAATACCATGATAAATCAGTAAATTTTAGCAAACTATGTTTTTGAAAATTGAGTTTCACGTCTTAGTTTTTAGTTCATGCAGGTCCTGTGATAGGTAATATTCGTAATGTTTATCCCTCGCAGTTTAAATAATTATGTGTCCATCCACCGGGTGGTTTGTATAAAAAACGAAGTTCGAATAACATTATATTTATTTCTTTCTTCCAGACGAGTAGCAGTTTAATAGATTGCCGTTACACCTTCGCCCACCGTCGCGAGCAGTTCTATCCCGATGGGTTGAGTACGCCGACACTGTGTGTTTGTGGTCACACCACTGACGTAAGTACAAGTGTATGTATAATACATTTTTAATTACATCTTAAATCATTTAAATGATTCAGTATCTTCCACTGTGGTCGATACACGCTGGAGCTTTTCCATGAATGATCTGGCTCGACTGGGGAACTACCACGGCCTTACAGAAGATAAGAAATACATATAACATTACACTTAGGGTTCGTCTGTTGATAGGGGTAACGGAAACGCTCTTTTATCTGTCAGCAAGCAACTGCAATACAACATTGTTGTATACAGTAATTTTTATGGTAGAATAATAAAGACGAAATTTAAGAAAAATTTCAAATGCCACGTACTTTCATAACTGTTGAAAAATTTTACTTTTTGTTTGATCTTATAATTATTTTCGTGTTATCTTTTACTAACAAAGAAGAGGTTGTAGTGTGTAAATGACACCGGAGATTTTAAATTTTCGAAACGAAACGAGCTTTTGATACCTTGTTAATTGTAACTACACCAAAATTTTACGATAAAAGGCTCTATGCAAAAGGCGCATAACTTCAAACCGTATCCGCTACAAATTATTTAATTGCAAAAAAAAAGCTCAAAGAATAATCAATGACAACTGTCACATAAAAATGCTAACAATTTTTTAATTAATTAATAACACTGTGCAATATAATAAAAAGTATCAAAATTACATTGTAATAATTATAGATACTTAAATAGATATGATCAAATAGCTTAAATTTGTAATCCTTTTACTTTACATTAAATTTAATCATAATAAAAAAAAAACCGTTTTAATGAACTGGCTTTTCGTTCCAAATTGCACCATTGAATACCACTTTATTGTGAAGGCAGGTAGGTGCATACCGACATTCTTCGAATTTTGTTGTTATTCAACTCGATCCTTCTGTTTTCTAAAGGACTCAGACAATCTTATGTTTATCCTCCACGAATTGAAAGACTTATATTTGGCTGGCTAATAGATATTTTAAATTTCTAAGGATACTAAGTGATCGTAGTCTGAGAAAGAAACTTAATTTTTAATACATATTCATTAGACTTTATGTGAAAAGTTGCCAAGCGAGCAGATGGTTCACCTCATGTTAAGTCAATACCGCCGCCCATGGACATCTGCTACACCAGAGGGTTGCAGATGCGTCGAAAACCTTATATTCGTTATAGTTAATTCGGTTCTTCGTTATATGTTGAGTTTGCAAATATAAATAAAATCAAGTACTTTCATTCAACACTGTCATTTTAATTGACATTAAGTTTGAGGTTATAACATAAATAATGTCATTCGAATGTTTTACAAAAAAAAACGTTCCAAACTAGTTCACCTACACCCGTCCGACGAGTCGCGAGAACAATTCGGTTTTTTTAAGTATTTCATCCATTCACGTTTACCGGCTGTGCTTTTGACCTGTTCCGAACCCTACTTGTTTTGTCATAATATGATAATTTCCGGTTTGGCTATGTAGATGGATGCCATTGTATGTGAACTGAAACACACATTTTAGGCATATAAAGTTAAAAGAAATATTAATTAAATTTAAATTGCTTAAGTTTCAGTTTATTTTAAGTAGACGTAGAGTTGTAGTCGTGTGTTAGTAGTAGTCTTTACACTCAAGACGCAATGTAGAATATTAATGTGTCGAAACATTTTCGGCGCTTTTAGATTCTAACCTACGTCTTCCGGATAAAGCGCCTAGACGCTCTAACCAACCATGCCAACTCACGTTCTCATAAGGCGAAAATCTCAATATTATTAATTTATAACGCTGATTTGAAAGATTATAATCATGATATAAAATAAAACATTGTCATTTCCAAAAAGAAGATCTGTGGGACAGTGATTTTGCTATCTCTACTTAAATGACAAAAAATTATTAGAGATGTATTCAATAGATTAGTAATTCAATAGATATAATGATTCAATAGATTCAATAAGATCCCCTTGATACTTTTAAGAATTTAAAACCAGTTAATTAGTAATCGATGCTTTTGAATGCGACGATAAATATTAATTTTTGGACGCAAAATAAGTGAACCTGGTTAACCAGGTTCACTTATTTTATCGTAAAATATGTCAACCAGTATCCACCCGACTTCATACAACGATGTCTATTTCTTTCTTTTTAAACTCTCTGTGTTAGCTGCACTATCCTCTAGACAGGGGTCCCTAGAGTTGGCATGTCCTTGTCCGTAAAGAATAAGGGCCTTTTAATGTGAGGAATCTTTCCTCTTAATAATGTAGAACCGTTGCAATGCTTTGGTTCATCTTTAAATTTAATTTTAACTGGGGACTTCTTCCAAACTACCTTTAAATGTAGAGTCACTGTATATACCTCTTTCTTAACGACTGCGGCGAAGACATAAAGGGTTATGTGTTGGACTTATATGAATGTATATCCGTTCCTAAGTTCCTTCGTACCTCATTTGACTTTGATAAATTATGTCGTTATATTTTTCTTTATTATTGTCTATTTTACTGATTATCTATATTAAAACCATATAGATTCGTAATGGCGGAATTTTTCGCGCCTAAATGTATGATTTCGACTAAGATGTGTAACATATTGATAATAATTTCATCGTTGATATATTGCAAGCTACGATGATTTTTGATCCACCCACCTTACCTTAATAATTGGGTTATGTAAGCCCAATGCCGGAAATTTTGATTTTTTGCGAGTAGAAGATATGTTTATGGTTAATTTCGGCCGATAGCAGAAGAAATCAAATAGTAACTTACACTTTTTCCCTCATTAAGAAAAAATACGTTATGTGTAACAAATTCAAACATGTCAAATATTATAATATATACATATACATTAACTGTAGAATACAAAGGTACATGAACCCCACGGCGAACATATGATAATATGATTAATATACTATACTATAAATAATCATTTCATGTGCTCGCGTTAATATTACATCATCATCATCATCATGTCAGCCTGTTTGACATAGGCTGACTGCCACGAAGCACGATCCTAAGCCACCTGCATCCATTGACTTCCCGCACACTATATTAAATTGCTATCCAAAATTAGTTTATGGATTATATGGCGTAAATTTTTAGATTACATTTATATTACATTTTTAGCGAATTAAATTGCTACGTTTTGTGCACTTTTCCATCGTCATTGGTCACAAGATAGTCGGTATGTACCGCCAGTTTCATAAAATTCAGAAAAAATCTGTTTTCTTTCAAATTATTACACAATATTACTTTATTATTATTAAAATTATTATTAATAACAATTCAATTTTTTACACTTAAACATAATTTGGTGGCTTAATAGAAAAATATATTATAACTAGCTGACCCGGCAAACGTTGTTTTGCCATAATGAAAAAATGTGTGGGGTGGACCACCCTGACTCACTTAGGGATATAAAAATAAGTTATAAACCTATTCTCATAACTTCTGAATATACATATAAAATTTCATCAAAATCGGTCAAGCCGTTCCGGAGGAGTATATACACTAAATCGGTGACACAAGAATTTTATTTATTAGAGATTACGTGTGGTCACTCAAAGATTAGTATAGAAAATATATTGTAAATACGCCAAGCTATGTTCCATTAATATTGTAAAACAGATATATCTGTGATAGGCCGATGGGCTTAAACCAATATTTAAAATAGTATTTGGATACTTTAACTTTTATTGCGGGCATTTAAGAAAGTAGAGTTCTGCTTATTTTATAAGTTGCACTTTTGTTGGAGGATGACTGTACTTGAAACCGCGCCTGAATGCACTCCCCACGGCGAATGGGGCCAGGAAGGGTCATTGTCCGGGGATCGGCTCAGTATTGCATCAGCTGAACGTTCCAGCCCTAATTAAAGCTATTGAAGACAATTACTTTGCTTTTAATTTAAATTCGTCCCGCTTTTATACGATTAGATATTAAAGTACAAATATTTTATGAATTCATTGAAGCATATATCATGAAAATTATTTATGAAGATTAATTATATTACTTTCCCATGTTATATGAACAATAATTTAGTCTGCTTTCGAAAAAAGTTTAATTAGCATTTTTCTTATTAATTATATGCTGTTATTATAAAATATCCTCGGTTGAGGTACGGCGTCAATTAATTAAAAAATAAAAACTGTATTTTTAAAAAACTATTTTCGTCGAAGTTTTCTCGCATATATCAATAAATTTTAAGTGAAAATTTGAAAATTATGATTTCAATTTGTATTTAACTGAAGTAAATTACTACTCTTACCGATGGCTAACACGAACACTGAAAAATTTCGATGTCGCAGATAATTATTGTAATTAAATAATTGACGTGTCATAATGAGCAAAAATGCTGCTGTTGTCTCTACAGCTCGTAACGTTGACACTCATAGGCGCCTGTACCAACACACACACACGTGCAAGCACGCACGCACGCACATTTTTAAAACATAAAGCGGGATTGACAAATATTAACTTGATCCTTAGATTAAAAGTACCATTATGTTGAATTTAGGAAAGTTCTAGTTGCTCAATATACTCTAAGGCTAAATAATTTGACAGGTGCATTATGGTCTGTATAGCATTAAGATCATTGATGCAGCGCAGTATTCTTGAGAGGTAACTTTTAACCTTAATTCCATTCACTTCATTCACTTATACATTCTTGTATGTAGGTTTCGATAAAGACAGACATCTATATACTTCAAGTGGAGTAGCAGCAACTGAATTGATTCTAAAATAGTAATGTTTCATGCTGAATCCATTTATGAATTTTATTAAAAAGATAAAAATAAGTTGTAATAAATATTTACTTAACCCTCCACAGATTCGCTATAAAACTAAAAGGAACTTAGCCGCTCGTAAATCGTACCCAATAAAAATGATGCCAATGCGGTCCATAAAAATTTCGTGCAATGTAAAGATGATGTAAGTCACCATTGATTGTTACGCTGAGACAACATTGAAATAATCGTGAATTTGTCGTATTTAGCACTAGTTTGATAAATGTAACACATGGTTACGAAACAATAGCTTATGTGGCCTGCCA